CGGCCACTGCACTCCAGTCTGGGTGACAGTGAGACTCCAACTCAAAAAAATAAAAATAAATAAAAATAAAAAACCACATTGACTATTGTTCTATTGTCTTCAAATATAAAAGGTAGCCTTATAAAGCATATATTCTAAACACCAACTAAGTCTTTTCAGAGATACACCATGGGCAGAGTAAAATTAAGACTTTGAGGGAATGATTTAGAACAATTTGTGCTATTATGGACTGAAAGACCAAGAAAGTACATTGTAGAAATGCATCTTCATAACAGATAATACATTTTATTCTCATAATTTTGATCATCTTTAAGTTTTCCAGACATTCTTCATATTTAAGTTTTCCAGACATCCTTTGGGAAATAAAATAAAAGACCAAGCTGGGCATGATGGCACACACCTTATAGTCCTAGCATCAGGAGGCTGAGTGAGACAGAAAGATCATTTGAGCCTAGGAGTTCGAGTCCAGCCTAGGCAACATAGCAAGATCTCATCTCTCAAAAAATAATAATTAAAAAAAAAAGACTAAGTAGGTCCCATGAAAATAACATTACAGATGTATATATGTACCCTCTTATCCAATAATTCTATTCCTAGGAATTTAATCACAAGGAAATATTCAAATAAGTACTCAATTTGTCCCAAGATGTTCAGTTCAGCACTGTTACAAATATAAGAAATAACTAATATATTTTGTCACTGATTGGAGAGAATATAAATCAATTTGGTACACTGATACAATACTACAGAATACAGTCTTTAAAATAGATGGGGTGTATATAACTGAAATGGGAAGGTATGCAAGGTAACAAAAAAATTAGCCAGAAAAGCATGTATTATACATGCTTTTTCATATATTAAAAAAATTACTACTGTGTATTTTCACATGTGACTGTTCAAAAGGGTGAAATCTAAGCTACTGGCTCCAAAGTGTTAACAGTATTTACTTACCTCTGGGGGGGATAAGCTTAGGGATGGGGGAAAGCCTATATCCATTTGTGTGCCAGTTGTAATAGGTTTCTACTATTTTTCTAATCAAAACTTAACTTTTAATAATTAAGAGTAAGTCTTTAAAAATTCTAGAAGTATGCAGTATTATTTTCAAATCCTCTTGCAAGATTCTGTTAAAAAAAATTGAGCTACTGCCAGACAATCAGATACAAATACAGGAATCTTCAGTAAGAACACTTACCTTTTAATTGGTGTAGTAAAGACTTAAGACTATTTTGTATTCGTTCCTGGATCTCTATTGTATCCTCTGAATATGAAAAACAAAAAATGAACAACTTTCAATTCTTTTTTTAGAAAGATAAATAAGGGCAATACCCCCAAGCAGCTCATGGACAAGTGCATTTTATTTTCTCTTAAGACTCCTAGAAATTTAATTTCACTACTGAGAGGCAGAAAAGATAAAGGAAAAAAAAAAAGGAAAGGCATTAATTACATTTCTGCCAAAGGTACTATCTAAAATCCTGGAGGAGTACTTCCTATGTGCTCCAAATACTCTGAAAGGATCTAAAAACCCTATGATCTTTTCTTTAAAAGAGAAAGAGAGAGAGAGAGATATCAGTCAGGCACAGTGGCTCATGCCTATAATCCCAGCACTTTGGAAGGCAGAGGAGAAAGGAATGAATGCTTGAGCCCAGACTTTTAAGACTAGCCTAGGCAGCATACTAAGACCTCATCTCTACAACAACAACAAAAATTAGCTGGCATAGTGATGTGTGCCTGTAGTTCCAGCTTCTTGGGAGGCTGAGACAGAAGGACTGCCTGAGCCTAGGAGGTTGAGCCTATGGTGAGCCGTGATCATGCCAATACACTCTAGTCTGGGCGACAGAGTAAGAGCATGACTCAAAACAGAAAATCAAAACAAAACAAAAGGTCTACAGAATATTTGTGATTCTCACTGGGTTGAGAGCTTAGAAAAAAATTCTTCTCAGGTCGGGCACAGTGGCTCATGCCTATAATCCCAGCACTTTGGGCGGCTAAGGTGAGAAGACTGCCTGAACCCACGGGTTCGAGACCAACTCCTGCAACTTGGTGAGACCGCATCTAAATTTAGCCAGGTGTGGTAGCACATGCCAGCTACTTGGAAGGCGGAGGTGGAAGGGTCACCTGAACCCAGCACGTCAAGGGTGTGGTGAGCATGCCACTACATTCCAACCTGGGTGACGGAGTGAGACTGACTCAAAAAAAAAGACAACAAAAAAAACTCTTCTCCACAAAATTTAGGATTTCACTTTTAAAATCCAATCATATTTCAACAAATGAATTTCTTCACTTTTTGTTCATAACAAGTAATTTTATTTTATTATTTTATTTATTTACTTATTTTTTTGAGTTGGAGTCTCATTCTGTCGCCCAGGCTGGAGGGCAGTGGCACGCTCTCGGCCATGGCAGCCTCGACCTGCTGGGCTCCGGCGATCCTTCTGCCTCAGCCTTCCGAGTAGCTGGGACTACGGGCACGCGCAGCCACACCCGGCTAATTTTTGATTTATTGTAGAGATGAGGTCTCGCCAAGTTGCCCAGGCGGGTCTCAAACCCGCGGGCTCAGGCAATCCACTCACCTCAGCCTCCCAAAGGCGCAGGATTACAGGCTAAGCCACAGAGCCCAGCTTATAATAAGTAATTTTAAATACGAAATGGACTTAAGCTTCTAAGAGATTACTTTGTAACCTGTAATTATACTCTCTTATATACTAAACCAGACATACGTAGAACAGCTTCCATATACACTGAATTTTTCCAAATCTATGATGCTTACACATTTTATTGCATTTATTAAGTTTTCAATGACAAAGAGCCAGTAAACACACATGGAAGTGTACACTTACCTAAACCACTGATATCCAGCTCATAAATATCATTAACAAGATAAAAAGAGCTTATCTGGCACTCAGAACAGCCAGAACTTAAAAATCCACCCATTCTGGTAGGTACAGGACCAAGAAAAGGATACTAGGAAAAAAAGGGAAAAAATATGCCCTTTAAATATGTCTAAATAGTCATAAATATAATTATTGCAGCTGTGATGGCAAATATTTATTGATGATACCTGAATTTCCTTCTCAATAAATCGCTTTCCTGTCTCCAGGGCTACCTCCAGCTGTTGAAGGAGTAAACGAAGAATATCAATCCGGGAGGACACACCATTCTCAGTCGTCTTCTCTGAGTTCTTTGGTTCCACAGGGTGGTTGAGGCTTGAAAGTCCACTGATTAGCCTCAATGTTAAGGATCGAATTCTTAACCACAAGGTCTCTTCCTCCAAGGAGAGTTTCTTATGTTCTTCAGAAACATCCCTTAAATAGAAACATCCCCAAACCATCCATATTCAATCTGTTGCCTTCAAATCGTTCAAAGTTCTCTTTCACCAGTCAAGACTGCTTTCAATGGCTCAAGTTTTCATTTACAAGCTGACTGGTTTTAGACAAGTCAAAATCTTCTGAATTTCCATTTCACTATAAATAAAATGGGAATTATAACCTACCTAACAGGTCATTTTCCCTGTGAGACTTTATTCTCTGATGATAAAAAATAACACATGATATACAAAACTCAAATGAAAGAAATGCAAAAAATAGAAAAAATGCCCTGAAAACCAAACACCCGCAGTATTTACAAGCTTGGTACAGATCCTATCAGACTTTTACAATATGGATGCATAAAAATATAACTAAAAATAATATAAGCAATTTTAAGCACATTGGTTCAAAGTATACTTCACCTTTTTATGAATGTTTGCAGAATAGAGTTAATGTAGCAGGTCTAAGCTATTAGTGTTAGAAGAGCCTGCACAGTTGACCCTTGGCTGATGTCTGGGAACTTGGCACTCCAATCATTTCCTAAATGATAAGAGTGGTTCATTGTGGCAAAACTATACAAACCATGTAGTTTATGGTGAACAACTGCTTTACTTCGGGATTCTTGAACAGTGGTACATGCTGGGCAAAGAATAGGTCAATGAAAACCTTGAGCACTACTGAGTCTTTTATGGGCTTCCTTGAGCAGAAACACTATGCATATGTTACTTTATTTTTTGCTGGTGGAGAAATGAGCACACTGGATGTGTCCCTTCAAAGGAGGGAAAAAGGGTTGAGCACGGTGGCTCAAGCCTGTAATCCCAGCACTTTGGGAGGCAGAGGTGAGAGGATTGCCTGAGCCCAGGGGCTCGAGACCAGTCCGGGCAATTTGGCGAGACCTCATCTCTACAATAAATAAATAAATTAGCTGGGTATGGTGGCGCATGCCTGTAGATCCAGCTACTTGGAATGCTGAGGTAGAAATATCACCTGAGCCCCAGCAGGTCAAGGCTGAGATTGCTGTAAGCATGCCACTGCACTCCAGCCTGGGTAACAGAGTTGAGACTCAGACTCAAAAAAAAAAGTCGGGCTCGGTGGCTCAGCCTTTGGGAGGCTGAGGTGAGTGGATTGCCTGAGCCCGCAGGTTCGAGACCCACCTGGGCAGCGAGACCTCATCTCTACAATAAATCAAAAAATCAGCTGGGCGTGGTAGCGCATGCCTGTAATTCCGGTTACTTGGAAGGCTGAGGCGGAAGGATCGCCGGAGCCCAGCAGGTCGAGGCTGCGGTGGCCGGGAGCAGCCACTGCACTCCAGTCTAGGCGACAGAGTGAGACTCCCACTCAGAAAAAAAAAAGTTTTACAGTGTGGTGATTCCTAAAAAGTCTAAAAATCGACCTTCCATACGAGCCAACAATCCTCTTTCTAGGAATATACCCAGAGGAACTCAAATCATTCTATGAAAAAGATACCTACACATGCATCTCTATCACAATAGCAAAACCATGGGACCAACCATGCTGCCCATCAATAGTGAACTGGATAAAAGAAAATGTGGTACATATACACAACGGAATATTATGCAGCCATAAAGAAAAATAAAATTATGGACTTCATGGCAGCTTGGATGGATTTAGAGTCTATAATACTCAATGATCTATCACAGAAACAAAGATCTGAATACCACATGTAGTCACTTATAAGTGGACCCTGAACATTTATCATAATACTCTAAGAAAGGGACTGGCAGTAGTGGGACACTGCCAGGAAGGAGCCACACTACATCAATAAGGGTAACTGCTCTCAAACCAGGCAAAGTAGGGACAAAGGGAGGCACAAACTTTACCTGTATGATGACCACATATGTACCTAACCCTGAATTGTACCCCACATCTTTAAAATAAAATTTAAAAAAAGAAGGGAAAAAGCACTGGAATTCTGTTCACAAAATTCTAACTCGGCATATGCTTTTTTCCCTTGCTGATCCTGTCAGGTACCCTTCACACTATAATGAACCTTAGCCATTGAAAGTAACTATGTGCTGAGTCCCTTTGAGTCCTTCTAGTGAATCAGTGAATATGGTCTTGGTAAACCATAAATCACAGTATTTTCAGAACTACCTCATATATACATCTTTGCATGTTTGTGCATTTATTTCCTTAGGTTCTACTTTCCTAGAAGTGGATCTGCAAATTAATGGTATGTGGCATTCTTAGTCTTTAATATCCTTTCCTATAGTAAGATTATATAAAGTTTTATCTCCCGTAAATACATTAAAATAACCATTTTCCACATAACTTGGCTGACAACAAGTATTAATCTTTTTTGTTAGAAATAAAATCTGTATTGCTGCGGGGTGTGTTTCTTTGAATTTCTTATTAAGACTTTTGCCTGATTTGCCTGATTTGTTTCTTAGTTAACAATCTTACTGATTTATTAAGAGTTCTTATATATATGAAAATTTACCATAACCTTTAGAACTCAACAAATTTATGATTTCTATTTACAGAAGTTATGTTCCCAGATTTGACATAATGCTAAGAAAGTCTTTCCTCATTTAGAAATATTTCCTGCTGGGTGCAGTGGCTCACGCCTGTAATCCCAGCTCTTTGGGAGGTGGAGGTGAGAGGATTGTCTGAGCCCACAAGACCAACCTGGGCAATTTGGCAAGACCAGCCTGGGCAATTTGGCAAGACCTTGTCTCTACAATAAATAGAAAAATTAGCCGGGTATGGTGGCACGTGTCTGTAGGTCCAACTACTCAAAAGGCTGAGGCAGAAGGATTGCCTGAGCCTAGCATGTCGAGGCTGCAATGGCCATGAGTGTGCCACTGCACTCTAGCCTGGGCGACAGAGTAAGACTCCAACTCAAAAAAAATTTTTTTTTCTTTTAGAATTTCTAAGGAGTTTTAGTTTTAAGATACATTCTTGAATTCATCTGGAATTCTCATATATGCTCCGAATAAGATATAACTTTTAGATTAGCCAGCAGTCCCAACATAGGACTGAAAGATATTTTCTTCATTTGGCTTACCTATATTTTCTCATTCCTACAACAAACATGTAATTTTTTTCTTTCTTTTTTCTTACTCTGTCACCTAGGCTGGAGTACTGTGATATGATAGCTTACTGTAGCTTTGAACTCCTGAACTCAAGCAATCCTCCAGCCTCAGCCTCCTGAGTAGTTAGGATTACAGGTATGCACTGTCACACCCAGCTAATGTTTTTTTTTTTTTTTGTAGAAATGAAGATCTTGTTATGTTACGCAGGCTGGTGCTGGAATTACAAGTGCGAGCCCCTACACCCAGCTAGATTCATCCTAATTCTTTAAAAATAAATTGCTTCACCCAGGAGTTATAGGCTGCAGTAAGTCATATGATTATACCAATGCATTCCAGGCTGGGTGACAGAATTAGACCCTGCTCTTAAAAAAAAAAAATGGCTGGGCGCAGTTGGCTCATGCCTATAATCCCAGCACTTTGGGAGGCCGAGGTGAGAGGACTGCCTGAGCCCACGGGTTCAAGACCAGCCTGGGCAACTTGTAGTTCCAGTTACTTGGAAGGCTGAGGCAGAAGGATCACCTGAGCCCAACAGGTTGAAGCTGTGGTGGCCATCAGCATGCCACTGCACACCAGCCTGGGTGACAAGGTGAGACTCCTACTCAAAAAAAAAAAAATTGCTCGTGATTAATTTCCAGGTACCTCTCCCTTCCCCCCCTCCATGTGCTTGTGTGCATGTGTGTTTGAACCAAGGAAGACCATGTGAAGACATAATCATGAAGAAGGCCTTCACCAAGAACCCAACCATGTTGACACCACAGAACTGTCAAAAATAAATGTTTGTTGTTAAAAAAAAAAAAAAAAAAATTCCAGTTACCTGTCTTTTGGATCCCAGCTGAAGAAAACATTTAAGTCTCTGTTGTCTCGCAAATCTTCCCATGGAATGTCATCTTCTTCTGGTCTAAGATTCATTGATTTTATACTTTCTGCTAAACTGGTTGATCTGTGACACAGAAAACTTATGTATTATTATAATAGTGAAACAGTCATGAAGACATTATCAGCCAGTACTTTTACTAAAGAGGAAAGAAAAGAGAAGGAAAAGTCGGGCTCAGTGGCTCAGCCTGTAATCCCACGCCTTTGGGAGGCTGAGGTGAGTGGATTGCCTGAGCCCGCGGGTTCGAGACACGCCTGGGCAACTTGGCGAGACCTCATCTCTACAATAAATCAAAAAATTAGCCAGGCGTGGTAGCGCGTGCCTGTACTTCCAGCTACTTGGAAGGCTAAGGCGGAAGGATCGCCGGAGCCCAGCAGGTAGAGGATGCGGTGGCTGGGAGCGGCCACTGCACTCCAGTCTGGGCGATAGAGTGAGACTCCAACTCAAAAAAAAAAAAAAAGAAGGACGCATATACAATGAAATAGAAACAAGCACAGATCATGCTGGCTTGCTACATAGCAAGGGGAAGCCTTGTGGAAGTGCAATCAAAATAAAGGGGATCAGTATTAATTCCTGAAACACCTTGGTTTATAGGGGAGGAGTAATCTTGTAAGCACAGCACGGGCCAAAGGTTGATAACCACTGCCTAGGTTGACTTCAGTAATGGACCCAAGATATAGCTGGCAGTACTCTTTCATGTGCCAGGTTTTGATTTCCTTTTCTTCCCTGTTCCTATCCTTTTTCTCTTTTCCCTCAGTATTCCTTAAGCATCCTAACCACTAATAGTTCTCAGCAACTAATCTAATCCCTTAGTTCCTTTATAGCTCTTGTACAATACTTACATACTTGCTTCAAGTAGAAGATCTAACAGCATGCGTTCAGTACGAACTTGTGCAAAATGAAGAGAATTATTCAGCCTGTTCCTAAAAGCGATAAACTCTGGGATCTTCTCAAATGCACCATATTTGTAAGCTTGAATAATATATTCTGAGGTCTGAGAAGGAAAGACATCATCTTGGTATAAATATTTCACAAGTCAGGAAATGTAAGCAAACCCTGCCAATCAAAACAAAACACTCAAAACTAAAATTAAGTTTGAATCTAGTATCTAAAGGTCTTGGTCTAAAAGAACATAAGCTTTTTAAAATGTTATTTTTCTTCCTTCCTATACCTGAGACAAATGTCTTCTTTACTAATATTACTAATCATAATACCCAACTGCTGCTACCATTACACAGATCTTCTCTTGGCAATCATGTCTTTCAACTTAACAGGAATGGAAGTTTTGTTTTGCTACATCCTTCAAAAATTTGGTTAGTGTCATTCTGGAAGGGATATTACTCCATGTTTTTCTGTATCTAAAATAAACTGTTTCATATAAATGTTCCAAAAACATCAGAATAAGAGAACCACTTGATCCCCACCACTTGAAATCACTCGCCTTCAGAAAAAGACAGGCTGCTCTTTGGTTTTGTTTATTTCTGAATACTGTATCACAAACACATGGTATATAAGCATTACATTAGGATTGAAGATACTGAACAAAAGACCTATAAATATTCATGTCATAAACTATTCTGAAAACAGAAAGACATCAAGAAACAGGTTTCTTCTGCTAGAAATTTCCATAAACAAGTGATGAGAACACTTACCACATGTGCTTTAGATTAATACGTATGTACAGATGAAACATCACAGAACAGAGACAAGATAAAGAATTCTAAACAGAAATCCTGACAATAGAAGAAATCTCAGGGAAGAACATTTCATAGGTGTGGGCCTATTAGCCATCTGGATCAGACAGAAGATTACCCTTTGGGCCAAGAAAAGTAAAAGCTCTAAACTGATGTCTGCCCCAAAGATCCTTTCTAGAAAAGGTAGTCTTTTTATACAGTCTCAGTTAATCAGCTCTGCCCCCATCTCCATTATGTCTGAATAGTTTGCCCAGTAGGAAAATAGGCCAATAGTCAACAACATACCCTCTGATATACAGCCTTGCAGGGTTCATTTCAGGCCGCGGGATTGCGCCACGGGCGCTAATTCAACTGCATTCGATGCGGCTTTTAAACCCCCATGGGACACCTCGGCGAGCTGTTTGCCTGCAGTATCTGGAGAAATTAAAGACGGACGGACACAAGAAAATTAAAAAGATTACTTGTGATCCTGCAGGTTTCAAGAAGGACTACCTAAAAAAGTTCGAGTGTACCTTCTAGCTTGATTAAAGACAGTGATACACCCCATCAAGAGGAGGCCAGGATACTTTAACATATATGCCTATCCTATGGCCCCTTGGCTTAGAAAACATAGCAAGGTTTACTATCAGCCTTTGCAACAGAAACTTACAGCTTGGAAAAACCAGCTGGTTAGGAACATATGATTTAACAATTGATCAAGAAGAAAATATGACTTTGGTAATTCCAATCAAATTTATAAAATACACTATGATTAAAGGGGAGAACCCAGCCTTACCGAGTGTAGAGGCAATTTTAATTTCTGAGTGGTCCATGGAATACCACTCTCTTAAAAAAGCAATAGCTTTTAAAAGAGAAAAACAAGGGGCAAAAAAGAAAGAATATAGTCTTTAATAAGCTAAAAGGGTAGCTATGATTCCCTGGCTTGTCTTTTTTAGATAGTCCTCCTTTAACACTGCAGCAAAGTACCACTGCAGATCTAGACAAGGACTTGGGAAGCGACTGATAGGACAAAGGCTGTATAAGTATTACTCGTTTGGAAAAAAAAAACACCGAATGTAACTGCAGGCAAAACTGGAAGCCACAGGCACTTAAAGACTTCTGAATATCAAAGTATGTTGTCCGCACCTATTTCTACTCATTTATGCACCAAGGAGGCTATTGACATCCCGTATGGATCCTGAAATGAACCCTGGTCACTGTAAAAATTAGCAAAATAAAGTCAAACCCCTGAATAATTATCATCACGAATGCCTAAAACAGATAATTTAAAGGGAATTTTTAGGAACCATAGACATGTAAATGACTTTCAGAGATACGAAAATGTAGTACTGAGTCTAACATTATTAAAAAATCTATTCCAAAGTAAAGATGACAGCAGGAAATAACCTCTCTAGAAAGCAAGTCTCTGTGTAGGCCTTCCAAATATAACTTCTAATCCCACAGTACAAAGCCTTTCTAAGCAGAACACTGGCTTTTTCATTTAAGTAAAAATGAAGGTGTTCTTTCAAAGAGCTAGTTGGGAATTGAAATACATCAGTCACCTGGGGATCCCCAAAACAACCAAGAATAAAAGATATAGAACACAGAGCTTTGACTCTGAAGAGAGATACTTGTAATACTATGAGCAGAAGGTTTAACATATACAGTATAACATAGCCATGATCTTTAGCCTTAGATGCATTTAGGAGACAGTCCATACCACAGTCCTTCTTTGCTTTCTTTTTTTTTTTTGGGTTGGAGTCTCACTCCGTCACCCAGACTGGAGTGCAGTGGCTGCTCCCGGCCACCGCAGCGTCGACCTGCAGGGCTCCGGCGATCCTTCCGCCTCAGCCTTCCAAGGAGCTGGAACTACAGGCGCGCGCTACCACGCCCGGCTAATTTTTGATTTATTGTAGAGATGAGGTCTCGCCAAGTTGCCCGGGCGGGTCACGAATCCACGGGCTCAGGCAATCCACTCACCTCAGCCTCCCAAAGTGCTGGGATTACAGACTGAGCCACCGAGCCCGGCTCAGTCTTTATTTTCTTATTCTGGTACTTGGCATTAAGGTCAAGGTAAATTTTCCTTGCGGTATTTTGTTTTTCTTTTGCCTCTAGGACCCCTCCACCCCCAAGATTGTCTACTTTCCTAAGAGTAATAAGTAAGCTCCATCTTCTTAGTTCGTAGTAATAAAAATACATTTCAAGCAAAGAGTTCCTAGTCCAGTAAATGCAATCTAATCTCAATAAAATGCAAGTTTTATCATGTTCAACATCACATATATTCAGATGAATTAGTCACTTCTGTCATACACAACCATCATCAAAACATCAAAGATAGAAAAAAAACACTGAGGATAACACCTTCTCACATTGTTCCTGGGGATGTCCAGTGCCTACATTGCAAAATTTTTGTGGTTCTGTTTTTTTTTTCTTTCAAAACAACTCTTCAGACACAATATTTGTGGCAAGAAAAATTAAAGCCTAACCTACATATAAAATAATGTACCTTTATTAACCACATCTTCATGAATAATATGGCTTTTCTAGAAGGCTGGATGATTCAAAGCTGGAGGAAAACCAGCCAGTAGGCTTGAATTAATCCCTTATTTATTCCCACTACATCAAAGCTATTTGAGAAACAAAGCTTTGCAAGTTTCTTCATTAATCAAGTGGTTCTTTAAGCTCTTTCTTATAAATACAGAAATGTGAGCCTACATAATGAGATTTGGGGAAATTAATTCTTTAGATTTTTTTTTCCCCTGAGTTAGTGAGATTTCTTGGAAACAGAGGAGGGAAAGCACAGATATCTAAACAGATAGTGAAAACTCATAGATATATAACTCACTTATGCTAGGAGATTTTAGAAATCCTGTGTCCTAGAGATGCCCTTCTGACCTCCAACCCACGCCAGCATCTTCTGAACAAAGTGCTCAGATGCTGACACCCAGGTTCCTTTCTCTGATCAGAATTTGTGTTCCAAAATGGTATCTGAACAGAGAGCCCAATCACTGGAGGATAAAGAAACCCTTGGGGAGCCGGGCTTGGTGGCTCAGCCTGTAATCCCACGCTTTGGGAGGCTGAGGTGAGTGGATTGCCTGAGCCGGCGGGTTCGAGACCTGCCTGGGCAACTTGGCGAGATCTCATCTCTTATTGTAGATCAAAAAATCACTTGGGCATGGCAGCACACACCTGTAATTCTGGCTACTCAGAAGGCTGAGGCAGGATCGCCATCGCCCAGCAGGTGGAGGCTGTGGTGGCCAGGAGTGGCCACTGCACTCCAGTGTGAGCGACAGAGTGAGACTCCAACTCAAAAAAAAAAAGAAACCCTTGGGGGAGGGGACACAGGCTAAAAAGCTAACAGATGATAAGCAGCTTACAAGCTATATTATCCTTTGCTAATCTAACCCTCTAGGCCACTCCCAGAAACTTATCAGAACATAATTATCATAAACTGAGAACAACAAACCTATTTTCCATCGTTCAGAAATGCTTCTGCCCTGCTTTCTATATTTAATGAACTCTTAAAGAATTAGATGGACGATAGATTAGGCGTAGCTATTATAGTAACATAAGGGTTTTTAAAATTTTTCTCCTAAGTGAGGCTTGCCAAGAAGAAAACCAGAAACTAGCTTCCTTGCCAGTTCCTTAGACCACGGGAATGGGAAGCTATGGGCAGATATCTGGCACAGTCAATTCAGGAAATGAGTCTTGTTTTTTTTTGAGTTGGAGTCTCACTCTGTCGCCCAGACTGGAGTGCAGTGGCCACTCCCGGCCACTGAAGCCTCGACCTGCTGGGCTCCGGCGATCCTTCCACCTCAGCCTTCCAAGTAGCTGGAATTACAGGCATGTGCTACCACGCCCGGCTGATTTTTTTGATTTATTGTAGAGATGAGGTCTTGCTGCCCAGGCGGGTCTCGAACCCACGGGCTCAGGCAATCCACTCACCTCAGCCTCCCAAAGGCACGGGATTACAGGCTGAGCCACCGAGCCCGGCAGGAAATGAGTCTTAGATGTACATGAGAACCACCAGGCATGGTGGATGATGTCTCTAATCCCAGAATTTTGGGAGGCTGAGGCAGAAGAATCACTTGAGGCTAGGAGTTTGAGACTAGTCTGGGTAACACAGTGAGACCCCCATCTTTACAAAAAATTTTAAAATTAGCCAGATGTAGTGGCACATGCCTGTACTCCCATCTACTTAGGAGGCCAAGGCTGGAGAATTGCTTGAGCTGCCCAGGAGTTTGAGGCTGCGATAAGCTATGATCATGCCACTGCACTCCAGCCTGGACAACAGAGCAAGACCCTGTTTCAAAAAAAGAAAGAAAGAAAAAAAAGAGAGAGACAAGTATGTGAGAACCAAGTAGGCAGTGATCGCCCTAAAAACAAGCCTTCTCTCCACATTCATTCTTAGGAAGTTTCTTGTGGTTGGTCAGCTGAGTATAGACATAAGGTTTTTCCACAAAAGCTTCTGCTTGACCAGTTAAGTGGAACTCAAGTCTGCTTGCAGTGAAAAATAAGTTACAATTTCCATCCTTTCATTATGGCACAGAAAAGTTCTATCTTATTTATTGCTACTTTAAAAGACATATTATTGACCTAAATTTCTTAGAATGTCCTTTATTTTTCTAAGAAAATGTAAGTGTATTCACTATTGACAAAGAGCAAGGAGGATATAAACTTCAGAATTAAATAAGGTAACAAAGAGCAGCTACTACTGCAGAATCTTATATGGCATGGCAGGCTATAAACATTTATGGGCTATTTCTTATACCCTTGGAAAAGTCTCTTAGAAATCAAAAAGACAGATCTGAGAGGTATAACACTTCACAGCCTGTTTACACAGTTTTAAATGCAACTTCCCAAGGATTCTATTAAACACACCCATTCTAACAAACACAAATAACTCTCTACCAGCCTTGGACAGTAAGCTGTGGCCTAGTATAGCATAGTGCACCTCAACACGTGTACTTCTTGACATGCGGTAACTTACACTCTGTCTTGTATGTAATCAGCAAGCAACACTATAGTAAAAAAGCTTTTTTTTTCACTTACATCTTTCTGGTTGGAGTGGAAAAACCTGAGTGCGAAGTTACAGGATTGGGACGCAGCAGCATACTGACCTAAAGATTCGGCGTATCGGGTCAAAAGATAACTAGATCAGAAAGAAAGAAAAAAATACATGTTATACTTACCCACCTCTAGTATCAAACACTACACTTCAAATTACTTGGCAAAGAAATGGTTAGGCATAAGGAAAAAGTAAAACATCCTGCCACAGAAATGAATTAATTCACAGGATCAAAATTTTTTTAAAAAAAGAACATAGTTAACTCCATTTTGCAGGAGACCTAAAGTTCTATGCTACTCTTTCTTACACTCTGAAGATTTATGTAATGTAAAAGTTGTAAGAGAACATAATGCTGTCTTCCTAAAACCATCGCAGGGGACAGAGAAAAAGCCCTTAAGTAATCAAAATACTTTTGATTTTGAGTAGACAAAATTACAAATTCAAAAGGATCTCCAAGTTCAAATAAAGTATATGTGTCAACCTCAACTGCAAGTCAGAAGTAAAGGTTAAAATAATACATGTTAAGAATAAGGCTTCAAAGAATAAGGCTTCAAAGTATTTGCAATCTCTGGGAAAACTCTGAAAACATTTCCAAGTTATGCAAATTTTAAAACTGCCACAAAATGTTGGCAGAAATAAAACTGCTTTGCAATGGATCATATAATAGTTGACCCCTATTTTTAATCTATAAAGTTTAATGTCAGGGACAACTTCACTGCTAAAATCTATAAGTTACACCGCACACTGGTGCAGCTAGCTGCTCATTATTCAGAGTATATACTACCAACCCAATAGTATCATGCTGGATATGCTTGGCATCAAGGCTAGAATAAAGATCCACCACTGGTTCAAATGCACCCAGCATACAGTAGAGCCGAACAAGCAGCAGTTTGAATTGAGCATTAGAAGGGCTATGTGTTAATCCCTCTTCCAGCAAAGTCAGGGCCTGCCACACAGCGGTCTCGTCACCTAGAACCAAAATATCACATTATCCACTGATCTTGACAACAAATAAAGGTTTCTCAAAAACAAAAAACCAAGCCTTATAGACATCAGCCCTCCCCTATTTTACAAATGTGTTTATACCAAAAAGAACACATTTTAGATACATACCTATAACCAAAATAGAAAATTTCCCTAAATAGACAGTTCCTCAAAAGTTAAGTCAATTCTTAAACATGCCCTCAGTAAAAATGACGCAAATTTTAAGTGACCAGGTCTTTTGGGGAGAAGTTATGGAATCTCTAAGAGTCTCAGATTCTGGGAAGAGATAGACTTTGAAGGAGAACTGAAGTTTACCAACATTCCATGCCCTGGATTTTCTCTATAAGACCCCATAGAGATGCTCTCTATAGATAAGTTTTTCTTCCATATGTAACTCTCCTAACAAAATGTCAAATATGATATCTGCTCATTAAAATCAAACTAGGCCGTGTGGGGTAGCTCACACCTATAATCCCTGCACTTTGGAAGGCAGAGGTGAGAGGATTGTCTGAGCCCATGGGTTTGAGACTAACATGGGCAACTTGGCTTCAACTCTACAATAAATCAAAAAATTAGTTGGGCATGGTGGTATGTGACAATAGTTCCAGCTACTTGGAAAGCTGAGGCAAAAGAAACTCCCGGGCCTAGCAGGTCGAGGCTGCAGTGGCCGTGAGAATGCCATTGCACTCCAGCCTGGGTAACAGAGACTCCAACTCAAAAAAAAAAAAAAATTCAATCTAAAACGATCACCTTTTTTTGGCCTGTGAAATTTTAAAAGGTTATGTGTATCAACAGTCTTTCAATAGTCTTAATCTTTAGAGATTCAGTCCTTTTGGATTTCTCTAAAGAAAATACTATGAAATACAAAACAAAACTTTCTATACAGAAATATTCATTGTACTGTCTAAAGATGGGAGATGATGGCCGGGCTCGGTGGCTCAGCCTGTAATCCCACGCCTTGGAAGGTTGGGGTGAGTGAATTGCCTGAGCCCGTGGGTTTGAGACCTGCCCGGGCAATTTGGCAAGCCCTCATCTCTACAATAAATCAAAAATTAGCCAGGCGTGGCAGCACACGCCTGTAGTTCCAGCTACTTGGAAGGCTGAGGCGGAAGGATCGCCGGAGCCCAGCAGGTCAAGGCTGCGGTGGCCAGGAGCGTGCTACTGCACTCCAGTCTGGGTGACGGAGTAAGACTCCAACTCAAAAAAAAAAAAAAAAAAAAAAGATGGGAGATGATTAAGTACAGTAATATCCACACATGGAAACATCATACAGTCATTTGATGTTAATGAAGAGTTTTTAATTACAAGAGTAAACACGAGTTTTTAATTACAAGAGTAAACACTTGTGTAATAATATTTAGTAAACACACACACACAGAAAATTCAAATTAGTATGAAAAGTTTGATCTTGTTGACAAAAAGATACCAAACTGTAAAATAATTTAGGATCGCTTATTCTGGCCAACTTGAGGACCTAAGCTCATGGTATATGCCCCTAGGAGGAGCTGGTGTGGTTAAATGGTAGTTTGGTTACATACAACTTCAGGAGAACAGAATTTACAAGAAACCGTAAATCAATGCATATGAGATTTACATTGGTTCAGTCCAGGAAGGTAAAACATTTCTTTTTTTTTTATTATTTTGAGTTGGAATCTCACTCCATCGCCTAGGCTAGAGTGCAGTGGCATGCTCACGGCTACTGTAGCCTCAACCTGCTGGGCTCAGGCAATCCTTCTGCCTCAGCCTTCCACATAGCTGGAACCACAGGACAAGCCACCATGCCCAGCTAATTTTATGATTTATTGTAATGAGGTCTCACCAAGTTGCCCAGGCTGGTCTCGAACCCCTGGGCTTAAGCAATCCTCTGGCCTCAGTCCCCCAAAGTGCTGGGGTTACAAGCTTGAGCCACCACACCCAGCCTAATGAGACATTTCTAAGTGGTGGCCCACAGGTTATAGGTGAATTCAAAGATTTTCTGACTGACCAATAGTTCTCTAAGGAAACCTGAAAGCAGTAGAGGAAATGTGCAGCTTGAGAAAGATAAGGGAACACAGTTTTTTAATAAATAGATTAAGTTTTATGGGTGGTAGTTGTAGACTTCTAACAGAGCAGATAATTATTTATTTATTTATTTATTTAATTGAGTTGATGTCTCACTCTGTTACCCAGGCTAGAGTGCAGTGGCACAATCATGGCTCACTGCAGCCTCGACCTCCTGACAGGAGGAAGCTGATCCTTCCACCTCAGCCTCCTGAGTAATTAAAACAAAAGGCACGTGCCACCACTCCTGGCTAATTTTTTTGCAGAGACAAGGTCTTGCTACGTTGCCTAGGCTGGTCTTGAACTCTGAGGGCGTAAGCAATCCTCTCGCCTTCACCTCCAAAGTGTTAGGATTACAGGCGAAAACCACTATGCGCAGTCCAGGTAATTGTTATAAAAGTCCCCAAAGACAGCTTTACTAGGTCATAAAATACTTTCAGTTTAATCATCAATCTCAAGTGCACAGAAGAATAGAGAAGAAGAAAATAAGAAAAAAATGTTAGAGTGCATTTGGGGTCTGGAAAGGTGAGAGCTTAAATAAACTGTGTTCCAAAATTTTTACCAGCTACTTTTACAATCAGTAAAAATGAAAGCTAAAATGAAAGCCCTATGTAAGATTTTAAGGTAACAGTCTATATAATTTTTTCCAAAAGAAGAGAAATAGGACATAACCAAAATCTGAGACTTTAGATAAATATCACCTATAATATCACCTAAAGTATGCAAACTACCAATAATCTACCCAAACTACCATTATTATTTAATGTATTTCCTATGAACTATAATAGCTATTATATAAAATGCTTTTATGTAGAAGCGATAGCACACATCTAATTTTGTGTTCCGCTATTTTGCTTATTGTTTTCTCATGTTGCTACCTGGTCTTCACAATCATAATTGTATGTAATGCAATATTCATTGACCAAACCTAAACTCTGGAACACCACCAGACATAAAATCCAAAGATAAGAGTCACAGGTGAATCCCAGCCTCAAACAGAACAAACAGGTGGACAATTATAGGGATTAGATAATTGTAAGAAAGAAGTATAGGTTATTCAAGGATAACTAGGGAAAAAAAGACAAAGATCTATTTAAAATGGAAACAAAATTTAAAAATAAGCATCAAAATAAGGCTTAGGTTATACTTCTTTCTGAACTATTAAATCAAGTATGAAGACACTTATTATTTTATTTTGCAAACTTTCAGCTATAACAACTCTATGCAAATTCTTCATTAAATCAAAGTGCATCAAAAGTTGATGAGGTCTCCTGGGACATAATTTTTCTAACTAAATTTTATAATACAGTTTTAACAAAATGAGATTTTTCACTCCTCATTTTACCTTTGCAGCATAATTACAAAGAAATGTTTTTTGACAAAAATATTTGAGAGGATAAACCTCCTAAAGTACTCAATTCTTTCACATTCAAATCAATTATCTTGCAAAGCCCTCACCAATTTTCTGCTGATTTCAAATTTTTACTCCACTTGAAAACGCTCATTAATGATTTTTACATTGAGATGACTTTGCCACCCTATGCCATCCCATTACTCTGGGGACTCAGAAAACAAGTTCTCTAATAACAAGGATTTCACCATTCCTCATCCCTGTACAATAGAGTATAACAAGTACTACCATGTAGGTACATACAATGTCCTACTAACGTTCAGAAGGGACATAAAATCTTCAGTGGGGAAGGAGGTAAAATCAAGAGAGGCTTTGTTCTCTAACAAAGAAATCCATGGCATTGTTAAAAGATTAAGGAGGTAAGAAAGTTATTTCAAAAAGAAGCAACATGATGTTAAGTGACAGTAGCAAAAAATTTTTTACAGTAGATTTAAGTACCTAAAAATCTGGAGATGTAGACAGAAGCTAGATTATAAAGGGCATTATAAACCAAGCTAAAACAACTGGCCTTTATCCTCAGGAAAACAGAGTACCTCTGAAGGAGTTTAGGAATGGGATGATAAGAAGAAGAAAAAAAAATGGGATGGTAAGCAAAACTGAGTGCTCTGTGAAATGATCTGCTGAGGGCAAGGGTTGTGCCTGTCTTGCACACTTTCACCCCTTATTTTTTCTTTAGTTCATTCTCATGAATAATATGCAACAAGCATCTAAAGTTGTTTTTTCCCCAAACTATTAATAAGAGAAAAGTCAGGGGGTGAAGCTAAAAAAAAGGCAATACCATTTGCTGAATCAACCTTCTCTTCCTCAATCATTCATGACGCTTCCTTTACCATGTATTATATTTTTGTCTTAATGAGATAATCAGAACTACATTCCAAAAAGCATGCATTTTCCTGTACATAAATATTGCCAAAGTAAATAAAAAGGGTTTTTCTGTTCCATGAACCCACACATCTATTTCTGAATCTACTAATTGTATTTTAATTACCATAGCTGGAATAATGAGCAATGACTATAAAAAATCTATTATAAACATTTAAAAACAGAACAGATATCTACTGATTTAAGACTATCCTGATTACAGGAAGGGAGATAAATTGGAGACTAGTTCTTCTAGAAGCACCCTGAAGAAGGGCAAGGAACAAAGACCTAAAAATATAAATCAAATTTATATATTATATAATTAATCCAAGGAAAGAATGCAGTACTTATAATCAATAAAAACAAAAGGTAGCCAGGCTCGGTGGCTCAGCCTGTAATCCCGCGCCTTTGGGAGGCTGAGGTGAGTGGATTGCCTGAGCCTGCGGATTCGAGACCCACCTGGGCAGCGAGACCTCATCTCTACAATAAATAAAAAAAATCAGCCAGGCGTGGTAGCGCATGCCTGTAATTCTGGCTACTTGGAAGGCTGAGGCGGAAGGATTGCCAGAGCCCAGCAGGTCGAGGCTGCGGTGGCTGGAAGCGGCCACTGCACTCCAGTCTGGGCGACAGAGTAAGACTCCAACTCAAAAAATAAAATAAAATAAAATAAAATAAAAACAAAAGGTACAGTTGAATTGAAATCACCACTACTTACCTGTTTCTCTCCATATATCAATAAGCACATGGACAGCAAGGAGACAGTAATAGTCAGAAAATTGCAATTCAGTTTTCAAACAGGATTTCCCTGTAGGAAAAAAAATCATCTGTTTTAACATTTGTTCAACTATTACCACGCCAAAGGAATTTTTTTAAAGCAAGAAAGTGACAGAAGGAAGATGAAAAGGAAAATAGGACTATAATAAGTACCAGAAGAAAAATATAAGCCATAAATCAAAAGGTTCAAAAGGGGAAACCACATTCAGCTGGAATAGGAGAAAGGGTTCCAGAGCAGAGGTGGTATCCACGATGGTCCCAAAGGGAGAGTGGTAAGATATGGAAGGAGGTTTTAGATGAAGAAAAAAACATAAGCCAAGCACTATGTATAACTAAATTAATATTATGCTTCTCACTTCATCTAATTTCTTAGAATATGGAGAAATACTGACATCTTCTAGTCAGACAATTTATATTTCTGTCACATATATCTATCTAGCAAAGGCCAAGCCAACAAGAAGATCATCTGCTTTTAAACTAAATATTGATCTTATAATTTACAATATTCCTTTTGTTCACTTATAGTCTATATTTTAAGAATATTAAGGCCTATAAGCAGAAAATGTGACAACATAAACTATACGATCCATATGAGCTCCAGTATAATAAAGAGTTAGCTCATCATATTGGGAAGAATATAGACATTAACTACAATTATTTAAAACTCCAAACTTAAGAAAGGTTTTGCATCATATTACTTGGATGATCTTCCCACTTGACAAAATATGCTCTTTACCAAAGTCATCAAAACAGGGTGATAGAAGTCAGTTTTTAAAACACCTATAAGTCTTAGCAGATCAGGGAACTAGTGCACATTTTGAATGGTTGCTCACCAAATTCCAGTCCATGCTGGTACCTTAACATCAATTCTCTGACCACACTCAATTTCTGATTTTTATCCATGGTGTGGTACAAGCCAAGTAACCTCGTCAGCTGCACCACACACAAATGTTGCTGCAGAGCTCTGATGTCAGCAGGCAGTGCCAGCTTATCCTCTGTTGGTGTCGACAAAGGAACAACTCCAAGTAACTGATTAATAAACTGCAAAGTGGGGAAAAGAGGAGCACAGGTCTCAAAAAACACAACTACTCTTCAGTAGGCTATAATTACAGAAATTGAAATGGTCTAGGAAAAGATATCAAGAAAAACCAAAAGTTAAAATTACCTTAGAATAACATTTTCTAACCAAATAGTGAAAACAAAAAAAAAAATGTGTGACAGTACACAAAGCTGGTAAAGTGCCAGTGAAACTGGCATCCTCAATCATTGCTGGCCAAAAGTTATTTGTCAATATCGTGTACTATAGGCACTAAGTTTTAAAAAATTATGAAAATGCAGCCAGGCTCGGTGGCTCAGGCTGTAATCCCGTGCCTTTGGGAGGCTGAGGTGAGTGGATTGCCTGAGCCCGCGGGTTCGAGACCCACCTGGGCAGGCGAGACCTCATCTCTACAATAAATCAAAAAATTAGCCAGGTGTGGTAGCGTGCGACTGTAATTCCAGCTACTTGGAAGGCTGAGGCGGAAGGATCGCCGGAGTCCAGCAGGTCGAGGCTGCGCTTGCCGGGAGCAGCCACTGCACTCCAGTCTGGGTGACAGAGTGAGACTCCAACTCAAAAAAAAAAAAAAAAAATTATGAAAATGCTTCATAACTTATAGCACATTAATATATATTACAGCAATTAATACATTGTATTAGGAATGGTGTAGAAAGAGAGTAGATTACCAAAAAATAAAAGTAAATTTTTTTTTGAATCGGGGTTGCACTGTTGCCCAGACTGAAGTACAATGGCGTGATCCTGTCTTATTGCAGTCTTGACCTCCTAGGCTCAGGCGATCCTTCCACCTCAGCCTCCCAAGTACCTGGGACTACAGGTGCATGCCACCATGCTCCACTAATTTTTTAATTTTTTGTAGGGACATGGTCTTAGTATGTTGTCCAGGCGGTTTCAAACTCTTGGGCTCAAGCATTCCTCTCACCTCAGGCTATCAACATGCTGGGATTACAGGTGTGAGCCACTGTGCCTGGTCTAAAAAATATTTTTTAACCTACAATTACATTGATAAATAATTTCTTTTTTTTTTTGAGTTGGAGTCTCACTCTGTTGCCCAGACTGGAGTGCAGTGGCATGCTCCCAGCCACTGCAGCCTCTACCTGCTGGGCTCCGGCAATCTTTCCGCCTTGGCCTTCAAAGTGGCTGAAACTACAGGCGTGTGCTACTGTACCCAGCTAACTTTTTTTATTTATTGTAGAGATGAGGTCTCGTCAAGTTGCCCAGGCAGGTCTTGAACCTGTGGGCTCAGGCAATCCACTCACCTCAGCCTCCCAAAGCGCGGGATTACAGGCTGAGCCACCGAGCCCGACTGATAAATAAATTCTTTTTTTTTTTTTCTTTTTCTCTTTTTTTTCTTTTTGAGTTGGAGTCTCACTCTGTCACCCAGACTAGAGTGCTGTGGCCACTCCCAGACACCGCTGCCTCAACCTGCTGGGCTCTGGCGATCCTTCCGCCTCAGCCTTCCAAGTAGCTGGAACTACAGGCGTGTACTACCACGCCCGGCTAATTTTTGATTTATTGTAGAGATGAGGTCTCACCAAGTTGCCCAGGCGGGTCTCGAACCCGTGGGCTTCGGCAATCCACTCACCTCAGCCTCCCAAAGGCACGGGATTACAGGCTGAGCCACTGAGCCCGGCCGATAAATAAATTCTTAAAGGAAAAGTTATAGTCCAAAAGGAATGGAAATTTTTTATTTTGAGATAATTATAGATTCGCATTCAGTTGTGAGAAATAAAAGGGATCCCCCAAGAATCACTCATCCAATTTCTCCCAATGGCAACATCTTGCTTTAAAATGTTTTTCATCCTATTCATTTTGCAAAAAAATTGTTTTTAAGTTCCAGTTATTTATTAAACAAACGCTTGTTTTCACTCATTTCTAAAATCCTAAAATGCCAGTTAGGAATGAAATGGGAATAAACCCACAAAGATCAAGACTATGTGAAGAGATAACAGCAAATAAACATGAACAAGATTTCAAAAGACACAAAGAAGGATAAGTGGTAAGTAATAACATACTTAAAGGGCCAAAAAAGCAGAAATCTAACAGTATGCAATGAGGAGGATACCAACAAGCAACAAGCCTATTTCAGGTATAGAACCTTGGAAGACTCAGGAGATTAAAGGCACCAGGTATCCCTGAAAGCTAAAGTGCTAATGGGACTGATAATTCGTTAATTTCAATCTAAGAAGTTAGTCCCCTCCCCAAGCTCACCAAGACCAAATTCCTAAATGCAAGCAGAAGCTCAGGGTTTTACAGTCATGAGAAGCTGAACCAGAGACACTGTGGACTCAGGGACAGCAGGCATAAGTGAAAAAGATAAAGTAAAATTTGCTTGTTCAGTGATGAGAGTTCCAGTCCCCTTCCTCTACTTGTAACTCCACTTCAGAATGCTACCAGCCATGGGAAGGCGGTTAGGGGGTGGGTAGAGAATAAAACCTCATGTCTATATATAAGGAGAAATTGCAATGCTAAGCTAACAACAAATGTAATGTAATGTAAACAACTAAGCTAATGTAAACAACTAAGCTATAACCTTACACAGTAGGACACCAATAGATGAAGACTACAACTATAAAAAATAAATTGCTATATAATCCTATGATTCAGCAACATGGGGGAAAATAACAGAAGAATTAAAAGACTAAATGATTTGCACCTCTCCAGCAAAACAACGAAGAGCTGTTGCTTCTCAATATAAGCCTTGTGATACTATTTGACTATCAATTACATACAGTACATGTAAATTTTTTCTTATTTTCTTTTTGAAACAGGGTCTTGCTATGTTGCTCAGGCTGAACCTGAACTCCTAGCCTCAAATAATCCTCCTGCCTCAGGTTCCCAGAGAGTTGTATATAGGCGTGAGCCACTGTGCCTGGCCTAATTTTTTGATACAAATAGAAAATTAAAATAAAACTCCACTCTTTCTTTTTTTTTTGAGTTGGAGTCTCACTCTGTTGCCCAGACTGGAGTGCAGTGGCCGCTCCCAGCCACCGCAGCCTTGACTTGCTGGGCTCTGGCGATCCTTCCGCCTCAGCCTTCCAAGTAGCTGGAACTACAGTTGTGTGCTACCACGCCCGGCTAATTTTTGATTTATTGTGGAGATGAGGTCTCACCAAGTTGCCCAGGCGGGTCTCGAACCCGCGGGCTCAGGCAATTCACTCACCTAAGCCTCCCAAAGGTGCGGGATTACAGGCTGAGCCACCGAGCCCGGCTAAAACTCCACTCTTTATGCAGTTTCACTTCTGTAATAAATACACTTCAATTTGTCTACAATTAATTTTAATTATTATGATCAGATATATATTACATATTTGTAACAAAACTTTAGCACTGGTTTTCATGTTTTGATTAAATGCTGGTATAGTTTTTATTGCCAGGTCTTCCATTCTCGTAAAGTCATTTTATATACCAGCTATGTTTACTACTAATGCCTTTACTGAATGCTAAATAATCTTCCAACCAAGTTTTGCTATGAAACAATCTGTCTATTCTTTATTTTAGTCTGTAGTTTTACTGTTATGCAAAAAACTTCTTTAAAAATCTAGGATCAGCCAGGCTTGGTGGCTCAGCCTGTAATCCCGCGCTTTGGGAGGCTGAGGTGAGTGAACTGCCTAAGCCCGTGGGTTCGAGACTAATAAATAAATAAAAAATTAGCCAGGTATGGTAGCACACGCCTGTAGTTCCAGCTACTTGGAAGGCTGAGGCGGAAGGATCGCCGGAGCCCAGCAGGTGGAGGCTGCGGTGGCTGGGAGCATGCCACTGCACTCCAGGCTGGGCAACAGAGTGAGACTCCAACTCGGAAAAAAGAAACACAAAAAACTAGGATCATTTCAATTCACAAAGCAAAGGAAACCCTGGGTAAGTCACTTCAGAATAACTGGACATAATGGCCCACTCTTAGGAGCTAGTCAGACTTTAGAAAGATTTGACTCTTAATTCATCACAATTCTCAGCTTGAACCTATCTAGACAGTTTTTAATCCTCTGACAAATACTTGCTGAGTGGCAGGATTTTTTGCTATTGAAGTCATCCTACAGACAAAAGGTTGTAGAAGCAAAATACTTCTCAATTAAAATCTTCACCGAACTACAAAACTCAGTGCAACAGCTTTAAAGCCTCAGTCTCGCAGAAGATTAAGACACTGTATCACTGCTAGTATTCTAGTAGGCTTCCTCTGAATCGAAAATTCTTACTAAATAAGATCTCATGAGATGACCTATGACTTTTTAAATTTTTTTATTTTTCTTATTTTTTATTTTTTGAGTACGAGCATAATTCTGTCACCCAGGCTGGAGGGCAGTAGCATGTGTAGTGTAAGCTACCACGCCCAGTCTCACTTTTTTTTTTTTTTGAGCTGGAATCTCACTTTATCACCCAGGCTGGAGGGCAATAGCACGCTCCCAGCCACCGCAGCCTTGACCTGCTGGGCTCAGGCGATCCTTCCACCTCAGCCTTCCAAGTAGCTGGAACTATAGGCACGCACCACCATGTCTGGCTAATTTTTTTGATTAATTGTAGAGATGAGTTCTTGTCAAGTTGCCAGGCTGGTCTCGAACCCATAGGCTCAGGCGATTCTCTCACCTCAGTCTCCCAAAGTGCTGGTAGCCACCATGACCCGCCAACCTATGATTTTTAAACATATCGACCAAGTAGAGACATAGAAAATGTTACTGGTACTAGAGTCATGACAGTAAACCTTCATGAATCTCAGCTAAAGGCAACTTAAGTGTTCCTCTAACGCAGCCCCACCATTTGAGATTGCAACTTACAAGATGGTAAGCACTGTAAGACAACATCAGTTGTTCCCTATCTTAGGGCTTAGCAAACAATATGCTCAAGAACATACTGAATGAATGGCTCCCACAGGGGTATCTAGATTCTCCTTAAATTCCTCCGGTAACATAAAACTCATACAAAGTATTTCAGAGAATTCTGACTAGTAAAATAGATCTTTTTCTCAGTAAGCCAAATTCTGAGCTTCCTGTAAAAACTTCTTGCTGATCCTTGTTCTCCACCCTCTTCTACAAGATAGCTTTTCAAATACATGAAAGGAAGTAACACTCTGTCCTTGCCATACCAAACTTTTCTTCCACTCAACCATTTTTCTCTCTCATATGCTTCCAAATCCTCCTATAGCCCAGAATTCTCCTTTGTGGATATGTTAGAATTTACCCAGAATTTACTTCCAGGCTTGGCCTGAGTCCTGTAACCACAACATCTCAAGAGCAGCTCTGCTGAACCAACATAAAAGGTGACAATCATTTCAGAACCCCATACCAGCTACTTATCAATTATGGAATATACTATTCCATTTGCCCTAGATGTATAAACTCAACACTGCCAAAGTACTGAACTATGGTGGACTCAAAATATAGTCACATACACAAAAAAACTACTCTAGTCATTTCCACTATGCTCCCAATGAGCTTCATTAATTCCACATGGGGATGACAGAAGGCTTTCTGGGAGAACAGATGGTGGCAGCCCTATGATAGAAAAGACTTCCAACCCTCACTAATTACAGAGTTGTTTACAAGTAAAGTGGACCAAAGGCACCAAGTCATATCTTATACATGGTACTATTTCATTACACGGTGCTCTATCCTACCTCAGAAACAATGTTTTTCCAATAGGTAATCAAACTGCCCATTACCAAGAATACACTGGGTTAAGCGCTAAACTTCATGTGGAATGGGCATAAAGTTCCCACTGATTGGTGAGCAATTTGACCCAGTAGATGTTGCTGTGGATAAGCAGTCTAAAAATATGGTTCTCAGCTGGGTTTGGTGGCTCAGCCTGTAATCTTGCACCTTGGAAGGCTGAGGTGAGTGGATTGCCTGAGCCCGCAGGTTCAAGACCCGCCTGGGCAACTTGGCGAGACCTCATCTCTACAATCAATCAAAAAATTAGCCGGGTGTGGCAGCACGAGTCTGTAGTTCCAGCTACTTGGAAGACTGAGGCGGAAGGAATCTCTGGAGCCCAGCAAGTCAAGGCTGCGGTGGCCGGGAGCGGCCACTGCACTCCAGTCTGGGCGACAGAGTGAGACTCCGACTCAAAGAAAAAAAAGTACGAAAGCATTAAAATTCTATCCCCCACTCCAAGGAGCGGGTCCTCAGGAATGTCCCGAAGGGGCCACAGGAACGTGCCATCAGGCCCTGAGGTGTGGGCCGGAGGGAGGCTGGCCTCCGCGGGGCGAGTAGGAGTCGGAGGCGGGACCGCGGCGGCGGTCGCA